ACAATAAATGCTAAGTGACATTAATAATGACATAAAATCCACATGAACGAAACAGAAAGATCATCGATTACCAATCTAAAGTATAAGATGCAATATGTCCAGAGCATACCAATAAACAGAGTGCTAAAAGAAAGGTGAGCATCAGATTACAAGAGTCAAGAAGGCCATACGTAAATAGAAGTCAGCAGGATCACTGGTAAGGAAAAGCCTCGAAGCTTGGGTCGTACTCTTCGTCGCTATGTCCTGAGGGGGCGCAAAACAAAAAAGGTGAGTGGACCATAATTTATAACAATACTAATAGTACGAAAACTAGTTTATTTTAGAACATACTAACCCCCTGTTTTGAAAACATATATATAATTCTACGTATAGGTTTTATAAAAACCCTAGCATGCTGTGTAAAACATTCATAAAACATCTGTAAATCCTAAACGTGATGTACTCAACTAGGGGTATCATAGTCGCCCGAAGGCAGTACCTGTCCATCACCCAAAGGTGAAGTTGAATAACATGTCCATCACCCGAAGGTGAAGTGTATAACTAGCATAACATCCACATCGACACTAGCCGTGGCTAGTGAAGCTGTTTGACACTGCTTTCGGCAGTGAAGCTAGGGGTATATCATATATCATATCTCACTCCTCCATCATCTGTGTCCTATGGCCATAGACATCTATACACGTGGTGTGCGGATGTGTCGTATGATAACCCACTAGATAAGTACCAAAACATATCTCAAAACTCATATCAAACATCGGAGCTCAAAAGCTCAAACCTCGTCTCAGAAATCCATGGCAAATCATATTCATAAATCCATAATAAACATATACGTGAATCCATAGAATTTCATAAAAGAAAAAAATCCAATGATTCATTGATTCATAACCTTTAGTAATATATAGATCTGATAAATCGTAATTATTTTGTAAAAGCAATTTATCATAAGTATGAAAATCCGTAAAACATATTATAAATCATGCTCCAATCATAAAATATGTAATGCATGCTAGGCTAATATTTTATAAAAACATATAACTTTAGAAGAGGTTCACTCACAAATATTCTACTACCGGAGAGCCGCTCGAACTAGGGTGGACTAGATCACCTTCAACCGATGCACCTATACACAAATAGAGAGCATTTAATAAAACTCTACCAAAACGTTGGAATTTGGGAAAACGTCAGAATTAGTCTAGGAGGAGTCTCGGTCGAAAGCCGAAAAGTCAACCCAAAATCAATGGTCAACGGTCAACATTGGCTAAAGAATTTACCTTCAAACGATTAAAACATTGGCTTTGGCCTATAGAACGTAAATCACTCGCAATTTTATGAGTCTGAATTGCAATTGGATTCTGCAACGAGTGTCAAGCGGCAAGCAAATATCTGCTTCAATATATACAAGAGGCCGTGGAAGAGAATTTTCAACTCAACACACAAATTAACACACTGCGCTAAACCGTCTCACATCCTAAGAAAACACTAACTACTCACTAACCCCTCCCCGTTGGCATATACTTAGTTTGTTAAACATCATTGTGTCATGAACCAGCTACACCTTCAGTTTGGTTAAATCACTATGTCAACAACCGGTATCACCTTCAGTTTGGTTAAACAGGAGCGGTAGAACCTGCTTGGCCTAGGAGACCTTCACTCTCCTTTTTGGTTACCTATCCAAGTTAGTTTGGATAAACATCACTCCTATCCTTGTTGGGTTACCTATCCAAGTCTTAACCGGCGAAGAGTTTCTGATTCTCTTACCAAAAGAGGTCATTTTCCAACGAAGTGAGGTCATCTAGCTAAACAACTTTTACCATAAAGACGCTCATTTCCTTTGAGTATCTTTGCCCTTACTATTTTATTTTCACAAATTTAGTTGAAGCCGCTGAACCCAGTGCAAAGGATCTTGAACTTCGTATCGAGATTAGCAATCTTGTCTTCAGGTTCTAAGAACCCTAGGCCAAGAGTGTTCCTTCCTCAGCATAATCGCTCAGTCCATAAGTCAGCAGCACGATTCGACACCACCAGTACATTCATCTTACTTGCTCGATTCACCTCGATAACAACCTGACACTCCCACATCAACCACAAGAAAAACGTGGTTAGCTCTACATAGGCTCAGTAGTTTTTAGGTTTAACACATCACTTTCACTTGTGCAATATTCTACAAGTTAGATTGACTGGTAGATAAGTAGATTGTACGTCCCGAGTTGCAACGAAGGATGTGGGAAATATTCTACGCTAGTCAATCAAGTTTGTAGTCATCTGCCCCTAACCACAAATTTAATTTCGTTATACCCTTTCGCTAAAGTAAGAAAGCTATTAGTGTTTGAAACGTCTGGTTTCCTCTCTCTCACCATGGCTGCAGGAAGAGTGCTACCCTTTGCAATTAGTTTATTCTTCGTGTTTCTAGTTGTTGGCTTTTTCAGTGTAGTTTGCAGTGCTAAGGATGATCATCCCAATAAGTGTGCACCGTCTTCCTGTGGAATCATCCCCAACATAAGCTACCCTTTCCGACTGAACAATGACCCGGACAACTGTGGTGACCAAAGGTATAACCTGTCTTGTGAGAATAATCGAACAGTATTGTACTTTTATTCAGGAAAATACTATGTCCAGGCAATCAATTATGATAACTACACAATCCGAGTTGTGGATGCCAATCTTCGTGAGGGTGACTGCTCTTCAATGCCTCGTTATTCATTGGCCGTATATAACTTCAGGAGCCCATATCCATATAACTTTTGTCAAAGGACAAAAAAAAGGATTGGGAAGTTCGATGTCTTAGACTGCATAGAACTGTCGAAGCCTGTAATATTCATGAGCTGTGAAACCCAAGTGAATTCTCCTCTCTATGTGGATACTTCCCCTTGCACTAATCTTATGAGTAGCTTAAGTGGGCATGTTTTTGTTAAGATTGGTCATTTAAATGCCTCGGATATGAGGGATTTGTGCCGAATAGATCTTACAGTTGCAACATCGTGGCCTGGTGCAAACGACACGAACATCACCTATGTAGACATCCACAAAGAGCTAGTCTATGGGTTTGAACTTTCATGGTTGCAGGGCAAATCCAGAGATTATAGTTGGCGGAGTACTTGCTACATCGATTCCGACACAGGGAAAGCAGCCTGTGGTTCTAACAGTATGTACTTTCTTATTTTTGGAAAAATCAGTCTCCTTGTCCCGTTTGCTATAGTTTTTTTTTTTTTTTTTTTCATGTCAATATTCTTCTTACATGATCCATACATATGTTTTCTTGGATGATACAGGCTTCATGAAGCTGATCGTTGACTACCTAGAAAGTGAGAAATTTTAAAATTTTCACTTTTTTACCATCAGTGAACCCTTCCAAATTATCTCTCGACTTATTTAAATTTGTTTCTTGCAGCTATCTTATCTTTTTCGGTCTCCATTACAGTTATATTGGTTTTTGGAGCAAGAACTGTATTCGGCGTTCCGTGTGTTATTGTGTTTTTAATCTATAAATGGAAAAGGCGGCACTTATCAATGTATGTCCATATTGAAGAATTCTTACAAAGTCACAACAACCTCACGCCAATAAGGTACTCCTACTCCGACATCAAGAAAATGACCAGAGGATTCAAGGACAAATTGGGCGAAGGAGGTTACGGCTCTGTCTACAAAGGAAAGCTTCGTAGCGGCCGCTTTGTGGGGATTAAGATGCTGGGTAAGTCCAAAGCTACTGGACAAGATTTTATCAATGAAGTTGGTACCATTGGAAGGATTCACCATGTAAACGTGGTGCAACTAATTGGGTACTGTGTCGAGGGGGTCAAAGCGTGCTCTTGTATACGAGTTCATGTCAAATGGATCTCTCGATAGACACATATTTTCCAAAGAAGGACCCGTCTCCTTGAGTTTCAAGAGAGCTTTTGAAATTTCACTTGGTGTGGCTCGTGGCATCGGTTATCTACATCAAGGATGTGACATGCAGATTTTGCATTTTGATATCAAGCCTCACAACATTCTTCTCGATGACAATTATGTTCCCAAGATTTCTGATTTTGGGCTAGCTAGACTCTGTCCATTAGATGATAGCAGCTTAACGTTGACCGCAGCAAGAGGAACTATCGGATACATAGCTCCTGAGTTATTCTACAAAAATATTGGAGGTGTGTCTAACAAAGCAGACATCTATAGTTTCGGAATGCTACTGATGGAAATTGCAGGCAGAAGAAAGAACTTGAACACAGTTGCAGCACATGAAAGCCAAATTTACTTTCCTTCATGGGTTTATGACCAATTCAGCGAAGGAAACGACATAGAAATTGAAGATGCCACGGAAGAAGAAAATGAGATAACAAAGAAGATGCTTATTGTTGCTCTATGGTGCATCCAATTCAAGCCTAGTGACCGTCCTGCTTCGATGAACAAAGTAGTGGAGATGCTTGAAGGAGAAATTGAGTGTCTTGAAATGCCTCCAAAGCCTTTCCTATACCCACAAGAGAAACCAGTGGTGGATGATGAAGATGATTCAGGAACAACATGGTCATCAGGACCATCAAAAGATGACGTCCTAGAGTCACAAAGTTTAATTCAGAATGCTGATGGAATAATGTAGCACCAGTTAGTATGCGTGACGTTTGACATAGTCAAGTTGGCTAGATGTTTATGCCCCCCCTTGTACATCCAAGTTTGAATCTCTCAGCGTAGTTTACAGTAGATTCATTCGCTCAAATAAAAAGAAGTTGGTGTGTAGCGGTAATAAGATTATATCCTATAGCACAATAATAATTTTCAGCAATGATTTATGTACTTGTTTTGTCAACACATTATGCTTCTCCCTGTTCTTAATTAGGGCCATAATTTTCTTCCTTGTACTATTTTGTTATTTCCAATAGGCGATATGCTTTGCCATTCCTCATTAGGCACTTCATGTGGGTTATGGTTAAGGAAGAATCAAATAGGCTGGCTTACCATCGCTGCCGATTCTTTACCATCATTGCGATGGTACAAACCATTAGCAACGCATATGCATCCCGTTTCATTGCGGAACTTCTTTAGGAGCGAAAAGAGTAAGAGAGAGCAAGGGAAACAAAATCCAGTTCACGGGTCAGAAGATTAATTGAAAAGCCTAACAGAACTAATAGCTTTCACAAGATAACGAGGAGCAAGCTACTAAATGTCCTAGAAATCTATGACAAACATAGTAAATTAAAAGGCAAACCACTCATAGGGCAATCCACCACTATTCAAGGGTGCCAGATTCTCCATACACTGCTAAGTGTCATACTGCAGAGGCTATCCTCTGTGTCATCGTCACGGAAAAGCTACCTCTGGAAATGGATGTTAACAAATGCTACGATACTAACATTGGACAGGATAAGAAATTCCGACTCTCTGTTGGGACAAAGTGCACTGGCCATTTCATCTCCAATTAGGTCACTATTCCACCTTTTGTATTACTTTTATTTAATTTTCCTTCAAGAGCTTTCCACTGATCTTGTTCCCGCTACCCTGCTTTGGGACAATAAGCCATCAAGTGGAATTCAGCCCTCTTCGTCATAATCTTCTTCATCCTCGTCTAGCCTTCTGCTCAGATTTGCAAGTTGAAGAGGATCAATGGCCATTCTATCCACATCAGCGAGAGACCACCCAGGATATTCTTCATGTTTAGGCTCAGAAATAGGTCCGGCTGATGAGGCTTGGGCTGCCATTGGGGCTGCTTGGGATGCCTCTGGGGGTGCTTGGGATGCCATTGCTCCAGCTTGGGCTGCCATTGGGGCTGCTTGGGATGCCACTGGGGCCGCTTGGGATGCCACTGGGGCTGCTTGGGATGCCATTGCTCCAGCTTGGGCTGCTCTTGCTGCAGCTTTTGTGTCCTCGTTATCATTTACATCAGCATTCAGATCAAAATTTCGAACTGCTGGATCAGTTTCATCAGGGACAGTGACATTTTCCCTCAATACATCCTTCGACTCGGAAACATCATCCGCCACCATTCCAGGGTTTGGATTAGGTATAATGGTCTGCTGAAGAGATGTGCAGGGTTCAGATTCAGTCTCATGGTGTGAAATCTCTCTTTCAGCTGTCCGACCACGTCCACGGCCTCGTCCTCGACCCCGGCCTCTCCCTCTGCCACTGCTGCTGCCATGGTTTATCTCAAGCTGAAGAGAGAGAGTAAAATGTTAAACGAAGTTTTTGACATCAGAGAACTCTTTGTATATTGCATTCCGCCCAAGTACAAATAAAACCAACTCAGAACCTCTAAACAAACTTGTATGGATAAATTCACAGAATAATTACATGCTCAACCTGGACATCCTAAGGAAACCAACTCAGAACCTCTAAACAAACTTATGTATATAAATTCACAGAATATTTACATGCTCAACCTGGACATCGTAAAGAAACCAAAAGAGGCATCACTCCGGTTAAGAGCTCTTGTGAAAAATTAGAATGAGAAACACAAAACAACACAAAGATCTCAATAACACGGATTTGGTATAATGAGCATGGAAGTTGGTTTTACGTTTTTTTTGGTAAAAGGAAGTGGGTTTTACGTTAAGAACAAGAAGATAATGATTAATTGCAGGGTGCCATTAGAGTTACCATCTTGCTCCTCTTCAATTCTTCATCACTGTCATTGCATTCATCACCTGGTGGTTTTCTGCAAAAAAATATGTCAGTAACTAGATTCAAATGACTATCTCATAAATTAATGATAATGCGAAATAACAAGAATAGACCATCTAACATACCTTCTTTTTGAAATGGTTCGGTCATCAGTAGCAGCATCAGAATGACCATGACCATAGTCCGGAACTCTGCTGACGATGTCCCTCAGAAAATCAAACACATTATAGCTCTGTACACAATGCTTTCTGCAAACAAGGTAGAGAAATTAGATCTGGCTCGCATAACTGGGACCACATGGCATTTTCTATTCAAGTCCAGGTGCAAAAAGTTCTTTAAAAGATATGCAGTAAACAGATTTGAGAGAATATTGCAACTAGATAATCTTAATTTAGTTTCAGAAAGATTATTCAGGCACCAAAAAAATATATGGTATTCGAACGGCACAAGCTTAAATTAATTATTTCAGTTACTAGAAAATATAAGCTTTTCTTCCCTTAGCTAATTAGATCATTCTTCAGTATGGGACCTGCAATAAAGTTTGGTACACTAATTGCACATTACTATTGATGTGCATTTCTCTAATAATGTTGTATCTAGGAATTACAGTCGATGGAACGATACTGCAAATGGATCCATTTCATTCCCTCATAATTTCATTTATATCCACGTCTTCTGAGATTGTCATCCATCCAAAACGTATCAATTGCTAATTCCATTAATTAGGCTGGATCTGAAGAAATTTAAATGATCTTGAGATAGATGAGCTCTCTTCTTTTCTTATTTCATTAGAAAATACCACAAAAGATGGGTGAATTGACTATTACAGAATATTCCCATGCAAACTCTTGTTCTAACGGGTTTGATTTGGAAAGATAGAATACCATGCAAAGTACAGATAATTGCTTTGATATTTGTCTAAAAATTAACACTTGTTCTGATATTCAAAGCAGGAAACATAATTTTTGTACATAACCTTGTTCTAATATTCCTCAATCATTCTGCTGCGCTACAAAGGTTAATCTGGGTCATTCTCACTCTTTCATGTTTCTCTGCTTATTGAGAACTTATGTGCTTAGAAGAAAGTTATGTAACCTATATTTAGGATCCTTGAAGTTGGGGAGGAGGTCAGTTTCTGGTGGGATAGACAGTGCACTTCTAAAATTCATTGTGGGAATAAGGTGCTCAAGAGTTTAAATATAGGGCATCTCTCTCTAATTTAGCAAAATTGGGAAACTGCAGTTTCTGGATACTTTTGTTCTTTTGCACTGTGTATATGTTGTACTAAGATATTAGCCAATAGAATTTTTTCCTGTACAATTGGAGTAATCATTCCCTGCTGTTGTATTTCTTTACTATAAACTTATTCTGCTATTGATACCTTAAAAATAATTAAGTAAACAGATAAACATCGTTCAATCTTTGACTTACAGATGCAGTGAGTTCATGGTTTTAGCTCCTCTTTGGAGGGTTATCTCATAGGTACGGTCACAAAGGTCTTGCAAAAATAGCTCCAACGCTTTAGCTGCATAACATACAAGATGAGAAGTATAAGCAACCAAATAATGAATAACATAACCTGGTGACTGGTATTTTATTAGTCCCGAAAGTTAGAAGTACTGACACACTAAAACAGGCACCGCTAATGCTATCTTCCCAACGTCCTCATCAGCTTGCATAATCTTTTTAATCCGGGCCTGCCAAATTAAAATTGTGTATGAGAATAGGAAGCACAAGGCAAATATCCTACTAGTACTTGTTTAACAAAAAAAATAGCCATCAACATGCTTCATTAAAAGATAAGGGGTTCTCCCGAAATTAGTGCATTTCATACGTGGACACTCTGAGGTAAATGACAAGTGCTATCAAAGATATCCTATATAACATACTCCCACACTTGGCACACAAATACAAAACACAAAAGAAACTAGGGGAAATTTAAATAATCTTTGCTACATGAAAAACCGATAACCAACAAGCCGAAGATTTGTTAGTGAAAGAAAAATCACGGATTGATAAACAACAATGGCAAACAACATCGGAGGCATAGACCATGATTCTTGACACAATCTCTTTTTCTTAAGTGTATACAAAGGAGCTATAAAAAAAGTATAAAAGAGGACTCTGTTCTTTCACATTTCAGTCTTCACCCACAACTTCCACATGCAAATACATGCGATTACAATTTTATGGAGAGTTCCACATAAGAGAACAACTATATACTGAAACAACAGGCAGCTAGCACTTCATAAAGTGCCAAATTATATGTCGATCATCCAAGTTTTCAATCATGAAATTACCAATGCATAACTAAATCTGCATAAAAAAACGTTTCTTCCATTCCTTCTTTCTTTTTTTTTCTTTAAGAAAGTTACAAACATAAGGTTCACAACTGTTGGTCACCTAAACCAGTGCCTTACAGAGGTATTCATGAAACCATGCATAGAATATGGATCACAAAGTAGTTAAGAAAGTGTAAACTTCCGGTTTCTTTCAACCCACGATACAAAACTCTCTAGTTGTTTTACAATCTTCAAAATTAATCCAATCCCAAATCTAAACACTCATTGAAAAAGAATATTTAATAAAACAAGATCAGATTTAGCCCTAAGGGGCCTCAAAAGTCATCACCTAATCTTGACCAATCAGCAAAACCACATCACCACAAGACCAAAGACGCATGTTATCCCCAGAAACAAAACCCCCATGATTTAAGTTCCTATCCACAAACCCTAGATGAAATCATCGATACGAAACAAATCCCAAGACTAAATCAGATAGCCAAAAACAACAAACCCATAACCCAATTCTACCTAAAACCACAATCACAGCAAACAAAAGGACAATACGGCCTAGAAAAACCCGACCCAGATCGAATATCTCAAAAATCCCCAAAAAAAATTGAAACTTTTAACCAAACAATTCAAATCACCGAAACATAAATTCATTAATCTCGCTAATTAATCACACGATTAGCACAAGGAAACTCCAATAATCTAAAATTTCCCTCCTTTTCCTAATTTCCCGTCAACCAAACAAATTAAAACTCGATCTGAGAATAACATAAACCCTAGAAGCAGCGGAAAGAGAGAGAGAATAAGAGGGGACTTACAGCAGGGAAACGGGTATCCAGCTTCTTCCTCATGGCGTCAGATTTGAAACATTAATTAAATCGAAAAGGCAACACAACAACAAGGAAACCGAAGGAGAATCGAATTTTCAGAGCCACAGAAGAATGATTGCTGCTGATTTCATCATTGTCGTATAAAATCCATCGCACCCCTCTCAGATCCGAAACGTTTCTTATTTTATTTTTCTTCGGGGAAAATAAAATTTAAGACCAAATTATAATAATTAAAAAAAAACAAACAAATAAAACTGGTTTTTTTGTTCCAACGGAATATCCGTCCGTACGAGTTTGTACCAAATAGAAACTTAGAGAGATGATAAATGAAGATGGATAGAGAAATTTTTAAGGGAACTTTGATAAAAAAAATTCATGTTCACTTTAACGAAAAATTATATTTTTATATTAAAAAATTAAGTCTCGTATTATTTATTTTATCCTTTATTTTGTTATTATCGTTAAAACTCAAAATTTTCAAGTTATTTTCATTAGTTTTCCTAATTTTTAATTGTGACGTAAACACCGGTGGATTTAGTCTCATAATAGGTTAGCAATTATGTAGTTCAAACTCGCATTTGACGAGAATATAACATAAAACCTTTCACTTACAAGTGAAAAGAAATATCACTAGATCATAGTACTAAGTGGCAGGAAATTTTATTTTTTAAGTTATTAATTTTTTTAACACACATATCTCATCATATGTGTGTATCACCTCATGTTCCGATCATATTAAAAAATCTTATTCACCACTATAAATTATTGTGCTTATCACGAATCTCGAAATTCAAACTTATGGTGATAAATAGAGTGGTGATTACCATCATTTGAAGATGGTGAGCAACAATGAACTCCTAGAACATTGTAGGGCCGCTCCACATGTCACGTTGTGAGTGGTCAGTTTATTCAAAGTGTAAGACTATGATTGTAGTTGGCTATTCAATCTTGACCGTTTAATCTTCAATGGTTGGGATTGTGCCACGTATGGTTGTAGTTTATTGGAGTTGTCCTGCACTAATCGTTAGTAGATAGCCAATGGCGGTTAGTGATTTGAATTATGTTTCGGTGATTTGAATTCTGAGGGTAACACCACCACAATGGTTAGTAGATACAGAACCCCATTATCCAAGGAGCCCCCCAACTTTTGATTGAATATATATATATATATTTTTTTTTTTTTCAAATTCTATATTATTTCAAATTATATATGCATACTTAATTAAGTACAAATTTGAAAATATCCAAGTTATTTTCTATTTTAAAGAATATTGTATCTTTTTATATACTTTATTTTTTATTAAAAACTTAAATTTCTTTGACATGTACCATTTTTTTTAATTTCTATACTTATTGTTCAATAGACGATATTGTATTAAAAATCGATTTTTATACTAAGTTTTGTACTCACAAAATATACCATGAAGAAAACATATGTTTTAAACATACACAAAAAAAAAAAAACAAAAAAGAAAGGGTATTGTATGTGGCAAATACCCATTTTAATTTTGCATAAGAACCTTGAAATCTCAGGGCCGCCCCTGTAAATAACACCACCACAGGTCCACAACCCTCTTTAATTCGTTAATTGGAAGAAACATCATTGTTTGGTCTTTCTTTTCAACCTACTCGAGTATCCCATACAGTACTTCGAACTTGGAATAAACATAAAGAAATTAACTATACTTCTTTATCTTTTGGGTTATTATGTTGGATCGGTTGGTCAAGACTTTCAATCTCTACCTCGACCCAATGAAAAAATGAGATCACTTAACCCCTCAGCACAATCATTGGTGTCTTGTCTTTCACACCAATGACTCGAGACTAGTCACTCTTTGAAGATAAGATATAGTAGGTATTGATCTCTTCGAATTGTCAATGCCCAATTGGCAATCTTATGATTAGGAACATTGAGGCTAGTGTATGGTTGAAAAAGGTCTCATAAATCTAACTTATTTAGGTCAAGTTCTCATGAGTTTAAGGTCTCATGTGAAATGTTTGTAATCATGATTGACTTTAGGGAACCTTTTAAATAGCTCGAAAAGCAATTGACGTGGCAACACGTAACTGGCTATTTGTGGCAACCAAATGTCAAGCCATCAACAGTAAGAGAAAGTGAGGACATTTGTCAATCAAGTATGTGACCTAATTACAAATTAGAAATGTTCGTTATTAATTAGGCTGAGTCCAAGGACTACCGTAAGTTGTAGGGATAGGATTAAAAAGAAGTCCTAATCCTGAGATACGTACTCTACATATTTTAAGTCCTTAACTATGTTCCTAGTCGTTGGATAATCGAATGGATGCCTGAACATCTGCTAAGGCCGGTTTATGTCGTATTCAATAGTAAGTCTCAGACAAACTGTGTTGTGACATGGAATAAGCACAAAGGTGCTCATCTATGAGATCAAGTTCACTAAACATTGACATATAAGTATACCAATGGAAGATTACCTACTTGTCAATCATATCACACTTCTGAATTGTGAATGCAACTAGTTCTTCGATTTGAGGCATCACTTGTTATCTCATGTTAATGAATATGATCTTTGGTCTCACCTCGAAGTTTTTAAACGATACCAAAGCCTTATAATGTGAAGTTTGGGATCATATGCATTAATATGGAGATACATGAATGCAAAAGAAGGAATCTATCACCTTCTAGGTAATCATGAAGGTAGATATGTTGGGAAGTGGACTACTTTAGTACAGGTGTGTGGAAGCGTGGTGGGTGATGTAAGTATAAATAATCATATTAACGTGCATGGTTAGTGAAACATTGGATTCCGATAATCATATTAATTAATCTATGTGATTGTGGTTAATCAACGTACTTATATTTATGAAAAATAATTAAAAATACATATTCAAGCAAAATATATTAAGAACACATGTACGACTTGTATTACTTTAGAGTTCCAGCCTTTAGATTTTATATGCAGGCGAATTTAATGTTGTTGAGGCTCTCAAGTGTCAGATCTCTACTAGTATCTACATGATTGAATCTTCGGTTGGTGAAGGTAGTCTGCTAGGAAGCTCTTCACCAGTTGATGCGGCAAGGATGTAGAGCGTGGTTCAACAGCTCGCAAACTAAGAACCCATGGTGAAGAGTGATTAAAAGGCATGGATCAAATTAGGCCTGGCATTTTGGACTCAACCCGTTAACCTGACCCGACCCAACTCGTTAATATTTGTATTTGAATGGATGCTTAACGAGTCAGGTCGCTAACGGGTGAACTCGTTAAATAACGGGTCACTTTGGGTCAACCTCTTAGACCCGTTAGCACCCGTTAGTTAATGATATTTTTGTAATTTTAGTAAAGTTTTAATAACAAAAAATAAACTTTATGCAAAAAAATAAATAATAATAATTGTTAACGGGTGTTAACGGGTGATCCATTAGCTTAACGGGTTGGGTTCAGGTGACCCGTTAACTTAACGGGTCGGGTTCAACCCGACCCAAACCCAATAAACCCGACCCGTTTACAGGTCTAGATCAAATAGTCTCATTTAAATCAATCTAATAAATCAAAGATTTTATCACAAATTGACTTCAAATCCTAGCATCGTTACTCCTTTTCTTCCTTTCTTGCGAATAACAAAAAGACCATCTCACCACTGACCTTTTCCTTTGGTTGGAGCAGTTGGCAACCCCTTATTCTATGCAATTTTCTTTATCCTTTTTCTCGCTAGAATCTCAGGCTATTCTCTTCATGGGTGACTTGTTTTTTGGGCATGCTTCTCCATTTTCCTAGTGTTCTTCGTCAGTTTCTTAATGTTTATCACCATATTTTGTCTTTGGAAAACCTAACTTTTATCCTCAAATTGTCATGCTTCAACCCTCAGCACACACTGTTGGAATCAAATTTGTGCACCACCATATATGGTGAAGTGCAAGAACGGCCACTTACAAAAGAGAGTAAAGAACCCTGAATTCCTAGGCACCTATGTGGTATCGGTGAAAGAATCTTCGATGGTCAAGTAAGTAAAGGTCTTAAAACTCAAGCAGTGGGCTAGAGAGCGAGAAAGCGAATATATGCAAGGTGCATAATATTAGAATACCTTTTATGAACCCTAAATGGGGTATTTATACTAGCCCGAGATAGTCCTTTAAGGATAGTGAATCTTCATAAAGCAGAGAGAATCCTACCAGAAATCTATTAATAGATACGCTTTCTTTTTAAGATTGAGATTACGTGTGGCCTAAACCAATTTCTAGATTGTAGGAATCTCCAAGATTATAGAAACTAATCCTGATCCCCAGTCCTACATAGTGTGTGTGTTATTTATTTTTTCTAATTTGTTTGAATTTATTATATGTGGTACTGAATAATGAAAATTAAAAAAATGAATTTTTTACAATCAAGTCTTGTATCAAACAATGAGTTAGATTTAAGTCCAATCCAATCTCATCTAGCTTAGTGTTACACCAAATAATGGACTTGAATTCAAGCCTCATCAATCCATGAATTTTCACTAGTGCACATCAAAAGCGCACATTTAATTTACACATCTGAACAAGAGCCGTTAGATTGTGTTAGGTTAAATAATCTAACGACTCTTGTTCATATGTAAACTTAAATGTGCACTTTTGATGTCAATTGAGAAAACTTAAATTTAATCTTATCCGTAAGACCCAATCCCATCAAACCCACTAAACAGTAGACTTGTTCAAATCGTTTGAGAATTTATGATACAGACAATCCCATAATTTCATAAACTAAGGGGCATTTTTCAATTTTCAGCCTTTGTTTCATTTGTTTTTTGAAAATTGAAATCTTGTTTAGTAACTACATTCAGTTTTCAATTTATAAAAATTATGAAAATTGCAAATCAAAAATTGAAAATTGCTTTCTTGAGTTTTCAAAATTTAACCCTAATTTTTCATTTTTTGTTTTTCACTTTTTCTTTTTAACTTAAAACTGGAAGTAGATAATAAACAAAATTTATATTTCCAATTTTCAAAAGAGTGAAACTAAAAAAATGAAAGCGAAATAATTATCAAATCATCCAAAACAATACGGGATGGATCCTCTTAAAAAAAAAAAAAAAAAAAAACGGAGTCGGATCCAAATGCTTATTCGATTTTGTCACGTGGCGAGAACGCAGTTGTTGTGGGCAGGAAGAAACATTAGTCCTTTCACACACCTGATTACTAATCTCCACGCCGCACGCCCCAACCCTTCCTCCTCCCGTCTCCTTCGCTCAGTCTATCGCTCCGCCTACCTCTACCGTCCTCCTCACCTAGTCCTTAGCCACCCACGCCCTCATATCC